TCTTCAGCTCAAGGCGAGCGCTCTACCACTTGAGCTACAGCGCCACTTCCGGTTTTCTGGTGGTTTATTGGAGATAGGAGTCTCACAGTCTCTCCTGCCTGGGCTGGCTTTGAACCGCGATCCTCAGATCTCAGCCTCCTGAGTAGCTAGGATTCTAATAGGAACTTTTTTGACAAAAGTTATTTGCATGGTGCCTCTGCATCATTTTATAAGCTAAAGCATAGCTCAGAACCTGGCTTCAGGCTTTTCACTTAGCAACATCATTTTGCCTTGACTTAAGACTACATCCCAGCATTCATTGGATGCTTTATTTTGGGTAGGTCTTGAATCAAACCCCAGCCACAAAAAAGTTAAAAGCAGACATGCTTTGTGTTGTACAGATACTATTTACTACCCAAAATACAAAGCTGTCACGTACTCTTCACTATTTAAATAGTCTTGGGCTAATAGCTGGAGAATTTTCATAGGCAAATTCTTCTGTATGTGTAGGGTCATTAAACACGCCAATAAAATCTATTTCCAGGAAGAAGGGACCATCCACTTTATCAGCCAGGGTAAATCCTATAGATGCGATCTAAATTTAAAATAGAGAAATTGATTAAAATCTCATACACTGATGCACCAATACTGCTCCTGGGGTTTTCAAATCTCAGGAGATAATGACTCACTGGGGTCTTTATGCCTCAGCCCTCATCAAGCCCAAGATGATTATAATGATGCTTCTCTCTACGTCCAACTGATGCTGGGGACAGGTGGCTCACGCCTATAAATCCTAGCTAATCAGAGGCTGAGATCTGAGGATCATGGTTCGAAGCCAGCTTAGGCAGAAAAGTATGTGAGACTCATCTCCAATTAACCACAGAAAAAGCTGGAAGTGGTGCTGTGGCTCAAGTGACAAAGCCTTGAACAAAAGCAGCTCAGAGACAGTGCTTAGGCCCAGAGTTCAAGCCCCAGGACCAGCAACAAAACAAACATGGATGCCTGATGGAGATTCTTTGAAGTTTTCCTGAACTCGTGCGCGCGCGTGCGTGCGTGCGTGCGTGCGTGTGTGTGTGTGTGTGTGTGGTATTAGGTTTGAAATCAGAACCTTGCGCTTGATAGTTAATGGGACACTGCTGAGCCACCTCCAGCCCTATTTTTCAATGGTTAGTTTTAGGATAGGGTTTCAGTTCCCACCTGAGCACACACCTAAGCTGCAATCCATCTACTCTAGGCTCCTGTGGTCACTGGGATCACAGTCACGCCCCACTAGGGGGTCTCATTAACTTTTCTTGAACTGTGATCCTCCTGATCTCAGCATGCCAAGTTGTTTGGATTACAAGCATGAGCCATCAGTGCTTGGCCTGAACTCTTAATTTAACCTGCTAAAATAAAATTCATATGTGCTGAAGAGATGAACACTCCTGTAGATAGGGACTTCACATAAAATAGCACCGACACATAAGATTGGTCTGAGAATCTATCTGGGCAAAACAGAGGTCGCCCTAAGTGGGAATTTTCATGTCTCATCCACCAGCCTTCTAAATGGGAAGACATGGCTCAGCAGCAAGACTGCCTGCCTAGCAAGTACTTCCATAAAAAGAGTTAAAGAAAATACAGGGGTGGGGGGGAGGGACTGAACTTATTCACACAGGAGTTGTGTTTTACTAAAGCTGATGTCCTGAGTGAAAGGAACTAGAAAGTGTTACCTTGTCCAGCATAAGTGGGGTCTGGACATCCCGGATTCTTCCTTGGTTCGAGAAGAAAAATTTGGAAAAAGGAATCTGAAATAAAAGATCCATTTCATTTTATAGCTAGAACATAATCAAGATTTGTATGGAATTGCAATGATTAAAATAAAGTTCACTTTTAAATTATATAAACTGCAAGTTATAGCTACTGGGAGGACTGAGGCAAGAGAACTGATTGAGCTTTACAGGTTCAAGACCACCCCCAGCTCTCCCCCAGCAACATAGCAAGACCATCCAGACAAGAAATTTGGTTTCTTTTTCTTTGAAATATTGGGACTCAAACCCCGGGTCTTGCCTTTCCTAGCTAAAGTGCTCTACCACTGAGCTACATCCCCATCCCAAATAAATAATATATGCAGTTATAAAAAGTGGCTAGCCATCTGTCTCAAAGACACAATTTTCCTTCTTTTACTCTCCCTCTCTTTCTCTCTCCCTCCTTCTCCCTTTTTCCCCCACCCCCTCTTTCTTCAGTCCTGGGGCTTGAAATCAGCCTGGGTGCTGTCCATGAGCTTTTTCTGTTTATGTGGTACTGAGGGTTTCATGCATGCTAGGCAAGAACTCTACCACTAAGTCAGATTCTCAGCGCCTGGCTAAAATTTTAAAATATGAAATAACTATGAAATCCCTGTAACCTACCTACTCAGGCTAAGATCTTAGTATCACACTTGGAAGCCAGCCTGGGCAGAAAGTCCTTACGATTCTGATCTCCAAATAACCATCCAAAAGCCACAAGTGGAGCAGTAGCTCAAGTGGTAAAGCACTAGCCTTGAGCAAAAAAGCTGAGGGACAGCATCTAGTCCCTAAGTTCAAGCTTTAGGACCTGCCCACACACAAAAAAGGTCAGACTAGAAGCATGGCTCAAACGGTAGAGTGCTAGCTGTGAGCAAAAAAGCACAGAAAGAGGACAAGTCCCTAAGTTTAAGCCACAATACTAGTAGGTGTTTGTGTGTGTGTGCATGCACACACAATCAGTAGTTAATAAGCTAACATATTAATCAAAGAACAAGTCATGTATGTCTTTCAAGTCCTCTTCCATCCTTTTATATACTCTACCCTGATCTTCCAAAAAGTATTAGTAAGAGAAAGGAAACTACAATGTAACCATAACTGAAAGATCTCACTTTCATAAACAGTGAAGACTTGTGCTGTTACCTTGACCTCCTGCCAGTAGGGTCCCCCACGGGTGAACATGAAGTAACTGTACATCTGATTGCTCCTCTGGATAAAGTCTGTGTCCTGCCTGATATTCACCATCCAAGGCCGTCCATCCCCGCGGATGCGGAGATATAGCGTATTGAACCAAGACCAGTCATGAGGTTGTTTCCTCTCAAAAGAGCCCTAAGGTACAAAAAGACAAGTTCATTTTGCTTCATTCTCTTCTGTTAGCAAAATGTTTTTTTTTTTTTTTGTCGGTCATGGGTCTTGAACTCTGGGCCTGGGTGATGTCTTTGGGCTCTTCAGCTCAAGGCGAGCACTCTACCACTTGAACCACAGCGCCACTTCTGGTTTTCTGGTGGTTAATTAGAGATAAGGGTCTCATGGACACTCCTGCCTGAGCTGGCTTTGATCTGCGATCCTCAGATCTCAGCTTCCTAAATAGCTAGGATTACAGGCATGAGCCACCAGTACCTGGCAACAAAATGTTTTTCACAAATTTACAGCATCATGAGTACCTGCTAACTATCTACCTTTATAGACTTCCTATTGCTAAACTTGGTGATTTTTAAGCATGAAATATATATTCTAAATGTATATATATTCTAAAGTAATGTTCAAGACATGATGGTCCTGAGTTCCTTGGAATGGGTACTGTCTGGTCTGCCTGGTGTTTGCTAAGTGGAAGTGAAGGTCCCTTTTTTTCCCCTGGTTCTTAGAAAAACAAATCTTGAGTGGCCCGTTGTGTGGCAAGTACCTTCTAGTCCGAAAACTGCAGAAAACTGAGATAGAGACAAAGGGATCAAAAGTTTGGGGCCTGCCCAGGAAGTTATTGAGAACTTCTTTCAAAATAGAAAGAGCCATGAGGGCTGGGAAGGTGGCTCAGTAGTAGACCACTTGCCTTGCATGCCTGAGGCCCTGGGTTTGATTCCTCAGCACCACATAAGCAAAAAGAAAAAAGCTGGAAGTGGCGCTGTGGCTCAAGTGGTAGAG